TTCACCTTCATTGAAAGCCCTATTTATTTTGTTGCTTTGTCAGATTCATTTCTGAATATTATTATTTAATTCATGAGATTAGTGATTTATATATATATAACACATTTTAAGTCCCTCATTTTAAGGTCAACCCTTTTACGTGAATTGAACTCTCTTTTGGAGAAATACAATTCTAAAGACACATTGAACATCTTATAGCGAAATCATAGTGTAAAAGTAGGCGAGCTGGTTCTACTCTCGTAGGTCGAGCATAACACGTCAACCCTGTCACCCATAGATAGACAGGCTAGAAATGTTTTAACAATTCGTTTTTCTTTTTTAAGCTTGCATTCATTTGACCCTCCCTGTTGCACAAAAAAAGCTTCCATTCCCCCTCTCACAAGAGGATTTATGGCTGATTTAAGATTAAATAATCAACCCTGTTACAGTAAACCCGGTTACATTATTTGGCACTTAATAGGCACTTACTATAGTCATTTCTTTTTTCATTTAACCTCTTGAGATGGGGAAAACATATTTTTTATTAAGTTGAACATGTGCTCTTCATGAAAGAATGTTAAAATTAGGTTAAATGTACACTACCAGTCAAAAGTTTGAACACACCAACTCATTCAAGGGTTTTTCTTTATTTTGACTATTTTCTACATTGTATAATAATAGTGAAGACATCAAAACTATGAAATAACACATATGGAATCATGTAGTAATCAAAAAAGTGTTAAACCAATCAAAATATATTTTATATTTGAGATTCTTCAGATAGCCACCCTTTGCCTTGATGACAGCTTTGCACACGCTTGGCATTCTCTCAACCAGCTTCATGAGGTAGTCACCTGGAATGCATTTCAATTAACAGTTAATTTCTTAAAAGTTAATTTGTGGAATTTCTTTCCTTCTTAATGCGTTTGAGCCAATCAGTTGTGTTGTGACACGGTAGTGGGGTATACAGAAGATAGCCCTATTTGGTAAAAGACCAAGTCCATATTATGGCAAGAACAGCTCAAATAAGCAAAGAGAAACGACAGTCCATCATTACTTTAAGACATGAAAGTCAGTCAATACGGAAAATGTCAAGAACCACAATCCCCTGACCTCAACCCAATTGAGATGGTTTGGGATGAGTCGGATCGCAGAGTGAAGGAAAAGCAGCCAACAAGTGCTCAGCATATGTGGGAACTCCTTCAAGACTGTTGGAAAAGCATTCCAGGTGAAGCTCGTTGAGAGAATGCCAAGAGTGTGCAAAGTTGTCATCAAGGCAAAGGGTGGCTATTTGAAGAATCTCAAATATAAAATAACACTTTTTTGGTTACTACATGATTCTATATGTGTTATTTCATAGTTTTGATGTCTTCACTATTATTCTACAATGTAAAAAAATTGTAAAAAATTAATGAATGAGTAGGTGTGTCCAAACTTTTGAAAGGTACTGCATATATATATTTTTCTGTACCAAATTACACTACCCAAAAGGGACTAATTTTGTGGAACGACCCTAATCTAAAAAAACATAAACTAAACAATTAGTATATATAGTACAAAATAATACAGTGTGGGCAATATTACAGGGTAGATTGCATAGGGGAAAAAGCACGTCAATAAATGCTCAAGTGACACCAAAAAACATACTATTTACTCTAGTTTGGGGAAGAGCTACACACCAATGACACATGTAAAACAGAATTCCATTACCGTTCATTGTGTTTCTGTCACTAATACAAAATAAGTGTTCATTATAGTCCTGTATTATGATGAGATAAGGGGTATGGCCAGTTGAGATTGCTGGTAAAGCCTCCTGCATTGAGGTTAGGTTGAGGTATGAGGCAGGCAGAGTTTTCCCTTGGTTGATTGGGTGCGTTAGTTAGTGTGGCCAGCGTAGTGTCCTCTCAGACTAGTGCTGTTTGAGCCCGTCTCATCTCCTTCAGAACTTCGTCTCGGCTTAGCAAATACTGAAAGCAAGAAGGGCCAGGGGCTGGGGTTAGCAGGAAGCATTATTCTGCAATGTTTGTCAGTTAAAGGCTTTAGAATGATGTCCCTAACTTTAAAATATACTTGTTGAAGCCTGTTTATTCATTTGAAACCTCTACTGTCAGGAAATATGAGAACAACATAGCACTGTAGCATTGAGGAGAAATACAAAAGATAACAGCCAGTGACGTGGCGCAGTTTTGCGATGCCCCCCCCAAGGCCCCCCCCCCCTCCCCCTAAAAATAGGGGAGGGGGAACAGCTAACTTCCTGCAATTCTACCACGGGGCAGGGAGAAATATTTGCAATACCTCCTGGGGGCTCCCAGATCTTGTGCGCCCCGCAGGGCTGTGGGGGTGCGTCCTACACCAGTGTTAACAGCATAACAGAAAATACTTTGTTACCTGGTTAGTTTATTAATTATTTAATTAAACTGAGATATAAAAGTTTGTTGAATGAGACTGACTGAGGACTTAGGAACTACTTACTGTGAGTTGGTTTATTCCCTCAGAAAGAGCTTCTATCTGCAGTACGGTCCCCTGTGGCACCGCCATCTGCAAAGTCAGGCCCTTCATCAAACACAACACCTAGTTCTGGGGTTACTGTACTACTGACAGGCCAGGACATCAATGACATACAGGTAACTGCCAAAATAATGGGATGACAATGCCCCCAACTGGCACGAGTGGTCACAGAATGGTTTGATGAGCATGAAAACGATGTAAACCAAATGCCATGGCCGTCTGTCATCAGATCTCAACCCAATTGAACACTTATGGGAGATTCTGGAGCGGCGCCTGAGACAGCGTTTTCCACCAACATCAATAAAACATCAAATGATGGAATTTCTCGTGGAAGAATGATGTTGCATCCCTCCAATAGAGTTCCAGACACTTGTAGAATATATTACAATGTGCATTGACAAGGTGCTGTTCTGGCTAGTGGTGGCCCAATGCCCTATTAAGACACTTTATGTTGGTGTTTCCTTTATTTTGGCAGTTACCTGTAAAGCTTTGTTTTCTTCCATGCATGATGGATGGCAGAAGGATCTACTGTAGGTGCTGAGCAAGCACCACTGTTCAAGTCATAGGTCACGTTCCAGGCCGACTACATTGCAATCGTTGCATTGCATAAACCAATTAGATATGGCAGGTGTCTGCAGTGAAGTCAACCTGGAACATGGTCATTATGGATTTATGATAAAGATGTACCTGCAGATGGTTGAGCCCCTCCCCCCAAGGTGCATGATGGGATAGTCCTGTTCCAACATGCACTCCTCCATCTTGCATACAATGGGTCAATCATGATGATCAGAAGTATTGATGAGAGCCAGTTAGTGAATGATACTGGTTAATTAATTATGCGTTCTGATGTCCCTGTACTGTGCAACGCATTAAAATTATTGATAAAGGGCAGAGATCATTTCATCATAAAACTGAGACAAGACTACTTTCTCCTCTAATAAGAGAAGCATGCTTTGTACAAAGATTGCATATATTTTATCAGGAAGAATACAAAACCTTTATCACACTTATGATTTTTATTGACGGATTTGGATAATACTATTTACAATTGATGACAACAAGAGGGCTTCCTTGATTGAAGCTTAATCTTTAACTATAAAAATATTCTAACAGTCAAATATGAAAATAACAGTGCATGATGATCACAACCTGGATTCCGTCAAAATTTGCACAGCTATAAAATCTCATTGTACTTCATGTACTTCTTTCAATTTACCTACATAAATATATTACATGTATTCCTCCATATGCAAATATTGCACAAGTTCATTCCACAACTGTCTGATTAACCAGCAACATTACTTTCTACTGTTTAGGAAAATATTTTAATAGAATGGATAAATACCATTAGGTGAATCTCAAATATGCTTGTGTTAAAATGATCATTAAAATGATGCATAATGTTCTTTACGTCAGTGGCATAATCTTAATGCATTAAAGGGCTGATGTGATAATATCAGAAGTGTCATGCCCATAGGGGGCACAAGGGCACATGCCCCCTCAGATTTGTCCTGTAAAAAAAAAAATCACACATTTTTTATCGTAATTATTTATAAAATGATCTCTCAGCAGTATTTTGCAGAGGGGGCACACTGACTGGACCAGGCAAATAGTTCTCTGTAATCCTACCCACCTAGCAATTTTATGAAGTTGGTTCCCAATCTCCCAACCTCATAACTAGCTACCAAGCCATTTCGGGCTATCAATCAAGTTAGAGTAGCTTGTCCAACTATCTTAGATGGCATGCCTGCTGGCAAGGTTGCTATATTTTAGAAGCGCAAGCAATTACTAAATGTACTGAATAAGAGTCACATTCCTTTCAATATTTTACCCAGATTTTAGCAGAGATGCATATTTAATTCATTTAAAAAAAATAACCGCCAGTCAGGAAGATACAGACAGCTCAAGAGGTATGCTTAGATATGCAGAAAAAATACTTGGTTTAAATGTAATCTGGCACCTTATGATAATATCATGATATTTGTGTATTAATTATGTCCCTGTATTGATGATGTGTGTTATGATCCCATGTACTGTGTTGTAATTTGGATGTAATATCCTAGGCATGTTAGTGCAATATATTGAGATGTGGGATTTACAACAGTCAGAATGACACCCTCATTCAAAGTGCAATATATTGAGATGTGGGATTTACAACAGTCAGAATGACAACCTCAGTCAAATTACAATTGAACAGGTAAAGAGGTATACTTGGATAACCAATGCAGAAAAACCGATGCTCTGAAAAAGATCTGATGTGATCAAAAGACCAATTAGTGGAAGAAAGATCAGAATTGGGCTGCCTGTGTAAACACAGCCTAAGTATTCAGATGCAGCTCATGCCCAAGGCTAGGGTTGGTTGTTGGGTGTTAGATGATGGCATGTGAGGGGTGTGGAGGTGGGTGTGCTGGGGTGGGTTGTGGGTAGCGTTGGATGGGCATGGCAGGAGGAGGTGGGGTTAATAGCTGCAAGCTGAGTGGTGATGGGTAGGTAGATACAGTAGTGTGACATCATCAGCTGTATGGCCCCACCTGCTCTCGTCTGTCTGGGTCTCTGTCCAGGATGGGGCTGAGGCCCCTGAAGCCAGAGTAGGGCCGGTGGGCCCCGTTCACCACCGCCTGGAGCTGAGCCTGGGCCTGGGCCGCCTCCAGGGGGCAGATGTAGTCAGTCGAGTCGTCACACCTCTTCTTCCTCAGGTGGCCGAAGTTTGAGAAGCCCAACTTCTTTGGCTGAACGGGAGCACATGCTTTATGAACAGACTGAGATAAAGCTGTGTATCATATCTATTCTATCCCTTTAACCATCATTTTCTAAACATTTTCTAAACAGCGTACAAATGGACTGTGCTGCTATAAATGGTTCCTATAAGCCTAATCGTGCTGACTAAGTACATTATGCTATCGCTACATTTTTCCTCAGCACATTTTCTACTAGCCTTAGCAAAAAGGTGTGTGCTAGAGATACGTGGCGCTACAAAAGCCTGCTGCACAAAAAGCTGCTAGGTGGAAAAGCCCTGGTCTTAGAGCTTAGCCAGGTCTGAGGTGTCACACTAAAGAGAGAGAGAGAGTAGAGGGGAGAGGGAAAGAGAGTGGGAGGGGAAAGAGAGAGGTGTCTGTCACCTGAAAGAGAGGGGAAAGGGAGGGGGATAGGGAGAGGAAAAGAACGAGAGAGAGAGAAAGAGGAGAGAGGAGGATTAGAGAGTAAGGAAAGAGGAGAAGGAGAGAGGAGGGAGAGGGACAAAGAAAGAACAAAAACAAGGTCTGCTAACAGGGTGGTGGTTCAGCCCTGGGCTTACTACAGTACAGTGCTGTCATCTCTTACCCTGACTTTGGCTGTGGTGCTGAGGGGAGCGTAGCCCGACGACTCCATGAACTCCCTCTTCTCCTGCTGAGCCAGGGAGCCCACCAGCATGTTGAAGTTTGTGGCCAGGTGGCGTCGCAGCAGGGTCTTCTGAGGGGGGATGTTCAGCAGCATGGCCAGGGTGTCTGAGTTAAAACGAGGCTCTAGAATCTGGGGGGTCATTAGAGAAGATTAAGAGGAATATTGTCGTGGCAAAATTACAACTTTTGTTATGCACATGCGCTGTATGAGCCTTAAACCTGTACATTTCCAACTGTCTGTTTGAAGGTCTTGTAAGAAGGAGCTGGTATTTTTCCACTCTGACTCTGTTCAACTTAGTCACACGGTCAAGACAAAGACCCTCTGAGAGTGCCCACAGTGTCTCAGCCCGTCCTGTTTCTTCTCATATCTTTCAAGGGCACAGCTGTGTGGAGATATGAGGTGGACAGAGGCTGGCTTGAACAGAGGAGTAACGGAACTAACGTTATCATTTGTTTGTGTGCTATGACCCGATATACATAGCCACAAGAAGAAAACAAGGTAGCTTATGATGCCCTGAGCTGCCGGGGAGGGGTGGAACCAGCCATGACTAAGCATTTTTAGGTCCACTATATAAGACGTCAGCATTTCCTGTTTATTGGCCTCTCAACGATCACCTAACGGGTGGTCGTTGACCAGCTCCATTATTGCAATAATGAATCGATATCAAATAAAGATTGATTGTTTGAGGAAATGACAAAGTGTCTCTCACTTGATTAGAATTTCCACCGCAGGTTGGTTGACGTTTATTGTCATGAATCTTGCCGTGGAGGCAGAATTTCCGCTAGATGGGCCAGCTGCAAAGTCAAAATTGGCTGTACTGTAAAAATTCATGAAAACAAAAATGTGCCTTTTGGTCTTCATTTAAAGATGCACTATGCAGAAATAGTGCACCCATTTCCTGGTTGCTAAAATTGTAATAGTTCGCCTAATGTCAGTTTATGTGACAAAACAAGCAAGTATAGTGCAGGGGTGTCAAACTCATTCCATGGAGGGCCTAGTGTCTGCAGGTTTTAGTTTTTTCCTTTCAATTACGCCCGAGACAACTAGGTGTGTGGAGTTCCTCACTAATTAGTGACCTTAATTCATCAATCAAGGACAAGGGAGGAGCGAAAACCTGCAGACACTCGACCCTCAGTGGAATGAGTTTGTACAATGATTCTCTACACCACAGGTGTCAATGTAAACCGCTGTGAAATATCGTTTCAATAACCAAAAATATTGTATTTTCAGCTGTTTGAAGCTGGTGTTCAAAACCGAAACTAAAAGATGCAAAAAGAAAACTTAAGCAGAGGAAGCATAGAAATAGCACATATAGAACAGATCTACCGCTTCTTAGACTTGTTTTCAATGAGAATGACAGATCTATAACTCACATTTCTATGTGAATTTGGTCAGGTTGCCCAAAAGGTTACATATTGCAGCTTTAAGGTTATGGTTAGGTTTAGGTTTAAAATCAGATTGTATGACTTTGTGGCTGTGCCAGGTAGTGACCACTCTGCAGTGCTGCCTCCAGAACAAGATTTATGAGGAAAAATTCTAACCTGCCTACATACGGGCGATTACACAGAAAGTTGGGATGGACTGAATTGGAAAAATAGGCTGCGTCTACACGGGCAGCTCAATTCTGATCTTTTTTTCACTAATTATTATTTTAAACAATCAGATCAGCTTTAAAAAAAGATCTCGTTGTGAAAATATCTGATGTGATTGGTCAAAAGATCAATTAGTGGAAATTATTCACTAAAAAATAAACTTTTCTTTAGGGAGAGTCTCCCGAGTGGCGCAGTGGTCTAAGGCACTGCATCGCAGTGCTAGCTGGCCGTGACCAGGTGACCCATGGGGCGGCGCACAATTGGTCCAGGGTAGGGGAGGGAATGGCCGGCAGGGATGTAGCTCAGTTGGTAGAGCATGGCGTTTGCAACGCCAGGGTTGTGGGTTCGATTCCCATGGGGGGCCAGTATGAAAAAAATTACAAATAATAATAAAAAAGATTAGTGTATGCACTCAATAACTGTAAGTCGCTCTGGATAAGAGCGTCTGCTAAATGACTAAAATGTAAATGAGTCTCTTAGGAATTGTATGTAACCATACGTGTCCCATTATGGACATATTTGTCACGATAACAACCTGAGCTGAGCTGAAATGCAGTAGAAAGGTATAAGAAGGTGCTGATTCAGTCATGTGGCCCGTGTACTTACGATAAGGCCCCCGTGCACCCCGCTGCCTCTCAGGTTGGGAGCGTACTCCGCCAGGTCCACCGAGCGAAGCCACTCCATCACCCTGTGGTTAGACCACTGAACCACCTCCGAGGGAGAAGTCTTGTTCTAGTAGGAAATAACACATGTATTAGCAAACACAACTACATACGTGTGTAAATGGAAAAACTCCTACAAATGTGCACATACACGTGTCTCACCTCATCCCCAGGTCTTCTCTTCAGGCAGTTGGGGTTGAATTTGTTGACGTGGAGGACGTGGATAGCACACTTCACACTGAGGTGATGGAGCTGACTGGTCACTTTCAGGAACAAGAGGTTGTTCTGAAGGAAGCCAATCAAATATGTTGTGCAGGTTTCTTTTTTTTGGATTGTATTTAACTACACTCCTAGAAAAAAAGGTGATATCTAGAAGCTAAAAGGGTTCTTCGGTTGTCTCCGTAGGATAACCCTTTGAAGAACGCTTTAAGGTTCCAGGTAGAACCCTATTGGGTTCCATGTTGAACCCTTTCTCCAGAGGGTTCTACATGGAACCCAAAATTAGTTCTACCTGGAACCAAAAAGGGTTATATCTGGAACCAAAAAGGGTTCTCTTATGGGGACAGTTGAAGAAACCTTTTCAAACCCTTTTTTCTAAGAGTGTAGGAAGTCCCTTGAGATGTTAATTTTTTCGAGGGAGACCTGAAAGCCTTGTGAATTATATACAGTAGCTGAGACAAAAACTAGTAAGACTACGATGAAAACCAATGGATGTACTTACCACTGTCAAGTACTGAAGCATTCTGCCGTCCACCCTTCCCTCGTTAAACTGATCCTTGTACTGAGGTAAACCAATGTCATCAAGCCAACCTTTGAGGACAAACCACATAACCAATTATACTGGATTGATTACACAGAATTTAGCTGAATGTTGAGTGAATATGTTGATGGCCTCTACTGTGTCCTACATACGTGTGACCCAGATGTGATCCAGTTCAGAGGATTTCTCTGGCAGTTTGGTGCTGAACGACTTGAGGGCCAACTGCAGCTTCTTTCTGTGCAGTGGATTCTTAATCCCCATCTCCTGATTACATGATTAAGATTAATCCAGGTTATGAACACAATACTTACTCCAAAATGAGTGCTGCAAATGACAGTTTTAATAACTGGATTTGGCATCACTTGGCACACTATTTCACAATTGTGATCAAGATTCAAACAAATTAGTTTGCCCTGCCAGTTTGAGAACGGCCTACATATATTGATATGACATTTGGTCCGGGAACCTGTCAAATGCAAAAAAAAAAGCAAAACCCAAGCTACATCTGAAACATAGCTCCAAACTAGCTGAAAACAACAACAAAGGTTGAGCAACATGATGATGTGAAAGACGGAACGAAATGGCATCTTGAGAACTAGACAGGTAGAACTAAATGGTGATGAGAACGATGCAATGACTGGACAGGTAGAATGATTGGAGGGGACGAGCTAAACATTGCTTTGACAGCCATACTGATGGGGATTATACAGTGTGTTGTTAGAGGAACACCCAGCTAACACAGAACGTTCCCTGAAGGATCTCCTTTGCTTATTTATAAAGAACCTGCCAACAGCATTCTGGGAACCAACATATGTTAGGAGAGTCATTTTTGTGACTGTACAGTGTGTACCTTCTCTAAATCCTGTGGTGAGGCAGAGAGGAGAGTTTGCCCGCTGTTGGCCCAGTGTCGGGCCAGAATCACATACTGGCCCAGCCCATACTCCTCTAGCCAGCAACACACCTGCTCTGGAGTCCACTTGGAGAAGGGCGTCTTCAGATCCCTGCAGGAGAGGACAGACAATTGATTGGATCATCAAGACTGGAATATTTTTTAATTCCTGCTCATTTAATTAATACATTGGCTTTTTTTGGTATATTCTCGGTCACATGCACATGCTTAAGATAATACACTGTATTTTATGTATTTTATGATAGTGTCCATTCCATACTGCACAGAGGTCAATGTCTCTCCGGCTTGGGCCAGGCGAGGGCCGGCGGTGGCTCTCAGTCCCCCCCTCTTAAACTCTCCAGGCTCAAGGTCCTCTCCCTGCAGGCTGCCAGACTGGGTCTTCCTTATCCTAGGGTAGAGAAGATAGAATACATCATTAGTCATTCACTTAGAATTATGCAGTACCTTTGCTAGGCCACCTCCTCTACCCAGGATGACTAATATCAGATCATCTTCCATTTATACCAATAGCCTCTGAATAAATATCTCTAAAGAGATCTTCAGCAGTGTGCCCTTCGTGTGTGTGTGTCTGCTGTACAGATACTCACTTCCCCCAGAGCTTCTTGATGCCTCGGTGGTTCTTCTTGTTCTCTGGAGAGACAGGGGACTGCTGTCCTGAGTCCATTCCAGACGACAGGGGAGACAAGTCCGACAGTGTGGACTCATCCAGTCTCTCCGACTTTCCTATAAGAGCAGGATATGGAGTTTTAGTAAGTACTGTAATCTATTTAAAACTGTTTTCATCATTTAAGTCATTGTTCTATTAATTAAAGTATGTCATGCAAAGCTTAAGAAACACTGTATTTCTTCAATTCTTTAGGGCCTAAAGTTGAGGTATTATCCATGCAGGACCCACCCATTTCAAATAGATCACGCTTTCCACAAGATCCTGCTGTGCCAAAGGTTAGCCAAGCGAATAGTGAAACAGGAAAGCATTAACATTGTTAGTGAGCTCCAGCATTTTCAGCTAAATTACACACAAAATGTAAATGTTGTCTTAATGGATGCCAATAAAAGTCTTTGAAGACAAATTCGTTTTTTGCATATTTAATAAACATGTTTAATACGCTGAAATTAAATTATGGTCTGAGGCGAATGGGATGTCAAGTTGCATCTATATTTGTTTACAGTGTATGTTTAAGCCAGATCAGCCATGGTCTATCCCTGTGCACACAACTGTCGCCTCACGTGACATCGCCTAAGTAACCCTGCTTTTGAGGTTAATGTAAGCTTTGTGCACTGCAACACCAATCACTGATGTGAGAAAAAAGAGCCAGGCATAATCTGAGACACCTCTCTTTGACTCACTGAGGGTCTTACTCCCTCCAGCACAGGCTGGAGTTATCAACTTTAAGTCACAACTTTAATCCCTAGTGAAAACAGGGGCCTGGTGCTTTGACATGCATGGGCCTTCCGTCTGTGAGTAGTAGTACGGTACCTAAAGCTGGAGCACTGGCACTCCTGCAGCGGTCTTCAGCCATAACACAAGCAGAAAGCCACGCAAAGCAAAAAAGAGGACAGGAGAAACAGTACAGCAGCAAACCAAGAGGAAGATTAGTACAGAGTGAGCGAGAATGCAGACGATAGCCACCCCATGCAAACCAACCACATTGTGAGAGAAGAGTGGAGCAGTACTGGAAAAAAAATGTATGCACTCACTAACTGTAAGTCGCTCTGGATAAGAGCGTCTGCTAAATGACTAAAATGTAAATGTAAATGTTACAACAAGCCATAGAAGTGTAGTTATTGATTTATAATATACAACCAAGGAAGGTTTTGTTGTTATTTGTTGTTTGCAACGTTCCAGTAGGCTGTTTGATAAAAACGACAAGGAGCAGTGTTTTAAGATGCGACTTACTTAGGTTAAACTCACTGTCCTCACTATCGTCAGGGGACAGCTGGTCTGGTGTAAAGTACTGCTCTCGATCCCCATTCATGTCAGGTCGAGATAGCTTCCCTGGTAGGGTCTGATATTTGTTCATTTCCATGTGCTGACTCTGTGGGGGAGGGTGGGCATGGTTACAGGCAAGTCACGAGTCTATTCAAAATGGAATTAAATGGCATCTGTTGACATTTGATTTCAGTTGAAGTGCTGCTAAATTACAGAACAGAATTTGAGAATCAGATTTATATTTTGTCCTTTCATGACAATATCATTGTTAATTCGATTGGACTGCCATTGGAGTCAAAAGTGTTCATGAGACAACAGACAAAAGGCCAATTTCAAAAGCCTTAGGGGCATCTAGACTATGATCGCTACTACATTTGACAGTTTCAGCTGAACCCTTGGTTCTGTTCAGGTCAGATAGGATAAAGTCAGCTTGTGAGAGGTTAAGGGTTAGCGGTGGTGAGATCATGCAGTGGAAAATACCTCTGAAACCGGTTCAACTGGTTGACCCACCACTACATGCTACAGGAGGGGTGACCGTGCATGTAACGAAGAGAACACATACACTGTTAGTATAGTAATGTATTAACATTATCAACTCAACAACAAGAGTCTGAGAATACATGTATGTGTTTAGCTGTTTTTGTTAGGTTAACAGTCATCAGAAGCTAATTGGTTATGTATTGTTGTTAGAGCACGCATAACGTTTCTAATGTGTTTGGTCAATTACAAATGAAGCACATGCTGTATGTCTAAGATGGATATATTGTATCTTAAAGTTAAATCAAAACACAGAAAATCCACTTTTGGAAAGCTCATATTCTGACCTAGCCATTAAAAAAGTATGGTCCACAGATCTAATTGAATCTGAACAACCCTTTAACTGGAACAGAATATGGAAAAATATGACCTTGGTATCCCGTAATCCGAACCATTAATTTATACATTTTAAGTTTGTTAAGTTTGTTCACAGACTGTATTTAACACCAAATCCGATAGGCCCATTTCTTCATATGATGTGGGAGTGCCTTGCAGTTAAATGCTTCTGGGGCAAAGTGACTAAATTCACTTAGAAGTGCATGCATGTAAATATTCAATGCTTTGCATCTATTATGTTACTTAACAATGATAGCTCCTTGAATCTCTCAATCAATCAGAGACGATTGCTGCTTGCAGGCAGCACTGCCGCAAAAAAAGATAATGCTCTTAGACGGCAATCACCTCACTCTCTCCCAATTCGTGGATACAGTTACTATTTGAAGTTATAACATTATAATTATCGATAGCAAGACTGAATGGTGGTAGTTAAGGAACAATTGAGGCCTGCACAATTATACCTGACTCTGTACAGAATCATCTCAGCCCAACACATACAAATAATCAATCCATAAAGCCCAACACATACATACAAACAATATATACAGTGCATTTGGAAAAGTATTCAGACCCCTTGACTTTATCCACATTATGTTATGTTACAGCCTTAATCTAAAATTGATTAAATCGTTTTTTCCCCCTCATCAATCTACACACAATACCCCATAATGACAAAGCAAAAACTGGTTTTTAGAAATGTTTGCAAATGTATTACAAATAAAATCTGAAATAAAACATTTACATAAGTATATAGACCAGGGGTGTCAAACTCATTTTAGCTCAGGGGCCACATGGAGGAACATCTATTCCCAAGTGGGCCGGACCGGAAAAATCATGGTATATATAACTTAAAAACAACAACTTCAGATTGTTTTCTTTGTTTTAATACGATCAACATACAACATAAAGCTGGAGCCTGAGGACAGTGTGTCCAAAATAGTACAAGCACAACATCAATATTAATCATAAAACACGTCAAGTTTATTTGAAAATTCTAAAGAAAAAGAACACACAAACACACAATGCCTCAGTGATTAACAGAACTGTTTCACAGATCACAGAACTATATCAGGGTGTCATTTCTCAGGCAGAAATGTAGATACAAATAATGAAATCCTGTTCCCCAAACAAGTGCAAGAACCACAGAGTCAAGAATAGGTTAAATATACAAATAAAATAAAATCAATTAAAAACAATAGCACATCAACATAAAAACATATAAACATAAATCTGAAAGCGTTGCTCAAACTCCCGTAACAGTCCCGTTATTTTTATCTTTGAACCGCTTCATGTCTGCCACATGTTGGGTCGCGCACACATTTTTCAGACAGGGGAAGTGAGCTGCATCACCACCGGCAAGTTGCGTCTCCCACAATGACAGCTTCAACTTGAAAGAACGTATGCTGTCATAATACTGCGTGACAACTTTGTTGCGCCCTTGCAGCTGTTTGTTCAAGTTATTCAGGTGCTCTGTAACATCCACCATAAATGCAAGGTCCTGCATCCATTCTGCGGAATGAAATTCTAACACTGGTTTGCCCTTTTCTTCCATGAACTGTTCAATTTCTTCTCGTAAATCAAAGAAACGCCTCAGCACAGCACCTCGGCTTAACCATCTTACCTCAGTGTGGTATGGCAGGCCATAGATGTGGTCTTTCTCTCAGAGAAGGCTGTCAAACTGACGGTGATTCAGGCTTCTGGATCTGATGAAATTAACAGTTTGGATGACCACCTTCATGACGTTATCCATCTTTAATGACTTGCAACACAAAGCCTCCTGGTGCAAAATACAGTGAAAAGTCAAAAAATCACATCCTCCATTTACAGATTGCACTTTCTCTCTGAACTTTGTCACAACGCCTGCTTTTTTCCCGATCATTGAGGGCGCACCATCTGTAGCCAGGCTGACAGCGCGGGACCAGTCCACTCCGACCCTGTCCAGCGCGCCGACGAGTGCGGTAAAAATATCAGCTGCTGTCGTTGTATCTGTCATCGGCACCAACTCCACGAACTCCTCGGTGACGGTCAATGTGTCATCAACTCCGCGGATGAAAATGGCCAGTTGTGCAACATCTGTAATGTCCGTGCTTTCATCAATTGCAACCGAAAACGCAATAAATGACTTTACTTTTTGCTTCAACTGGCTGTCCAAATCCACTGAAAGATCGGAAATCCTGTCTGCAACTGTGTTTCTTGTCAGGCTGATTTTGCAAAAGCCTGGTGCTTTTCAGGGCACACAATCTCTGCTGCCTTCATCATGCATGTTTTTACAAATTCACCCTCACTAAATGGTTTTAAAGCCACTGCGATTTCATTAGCAATGAGGTAGCTAGCTTTCACTGCAGCGTCTCTGATGTCTCGGCTGTGAGTAAACACAGACTGCTGTTTCTTCAGACCCGCCAACAGTTCATTCACCTTCTCTCATCTCCGCTGTCCTTGAAAGTTGTCATATTTGTCGGCATGAAGACTCACATAGTGGCGACGAAGGTTATATTCTTTCAGCACTGCAACATGCTGTGAACACACCAAACATACAGCTTTCCCATTCAATTCCGTGATTAAATAGGATGACCATTTTTCTTGGAACACTCTGCACTCTGCGTCCACTTTTCTCTTTTTTGACAGAGACATATTGGGGCAATGAGGGTGCCAAAGCACATAATGTTAAAAGTAGAAGCCGTAATAAATATCGCGGGCAAAACAAAGTAGCTCATTGGCTGCACGTGCTTGACCTACTTGCTCTGCCCCGGTATAAACAGTTTGCTTGCTTAACACAATTGCTATTGCGCCATCCAGTGGACGCAATTGGAACAGCAGTTTATTTTATTGAAAAATTGCAGCGCATTTTTATACTTTACAAAAATATTTTTTTATATATTTTTATTTTTTTCAAAATCATCTCGCGGGCCGGATTAAACCCGTTTGCGGGCCTGATCCGGCCCGCGGGCCGTATGTTTGACACCCCTGATATAGACCCTTCACTCAGTACTTTGTTGACGCTACAAGCTTGGCACACATGTATTTGGGGAGTTTCTCCCATTCTTCTCTGTAGATCCTCTCAAGCTCTGTCAGGTTGGATGGGGAGCGTTGCTGCACAGCTATTTTAAGGTCTCTCCAGAGATGTTAGATCGGGTTCAAGTCCGGGCTCTGGCTGGGCCACTCAAGGACATTCAGAGACTTGTCCCGAAGCCACTCCTGCGTTGTCTTGGCTGTGTGTTTAGGGTCATTCTCCTGTTGGAAGGTGAACCTTCACCCCAGTCTGAGGACCTGAGCGCTCTGGAGCAGGTTTTCATCAAGGATCTCTCTGTACTTTGCTCCGTTCATCTTTGTCTCGATCCTGACTAGTCTCCCAGTCCCTGCCGCTCAAAAAACATCCCCACAGCATGATGCTGCCACCACCATGCTTCACCGTAGGAATGGTGCCAGGTTTCCTCCAGATGTGATGCTTGGCATTCAGGCCAAAGAGTTCAATCTTGGTTTCATCAGACCAGAGAATCTTGTTTCTCATGGTCTGAGAGTCTTTAGGTGCCTTTTGTCAAACTCCAAGCGTGCTGTCACGTGCCTTTTACTGAGGAGTGGCTTCCGTCTGGCCACTCTACCATAAAGGCCTGACTGGTGGTGCTGCAGAAATGGTTGTCCTTCTGGAAGGTTCTCCCATCTCCACAGAGGAACTCTAGAGCTCTGTCAGAGTGACCATCGGGTTCTTGGTCACCTCCCTGACCTTCTCCCCCGATTGCTCAGTTTGGCTGGGTGGCCAGCTCTAGGAAGAGTCTTGGTGGTTCCAAACTTCTTCCATTTAAGAATGATGGAGGCCACTGTGTTCTTGGGAACCTTCATTGCTGCAGACATTTTTTGGTACCCTTCCCCAGATCTGTGCCTCGACACAATCCTGTCTCTGAGCTTTACGGACAATTCCTTCGACCTCATGGCTTGTTTTTTGCTCTGACATGCACTGTGAACTGTGGGACCTTATTTAGACAGGTGTGTGCCTTTCCAAATCATGTCCAATCAATTTAATTTACCACAGGTGGACTCCAATCAAGTTGTAGAAATATCTCAAGGATGATCAATGGAAACAGAATGCACCTGAGCTCAATTTTGAGTCTCATAGCAAAGGGTCTGAATACTTATGTAAATAAGGTATTTCTGTTTTTTATTTTTAATACATTTGCAAAAAGTTCTAAAAACCTGTTTTCGTTTTGTCATTATAGGGTATTGTGTGTAGATTGCTGA